TCTAAAGGAGTTGGAAAAGAGAAAGTTCGCGTGGAAGAATAGAACGACGTTCTGTAAGGGTTTGTTGACGACGACGTACCCGCCATACCACAAAAAGCTATTTTTATTCGCGGCGTCGACTTATCAATGAATGTTATTGAGGAATTGTTAGACTTCTGCGACATGAAAAATACTGCTACAGGGGATGATATTCTTTTATGCCTGAAGGAGGCGGTCGAACATAATGACCTATATTGGCATAATCTCGTATCAATTGCTATTGATGGAGCACCATCAATGGTGGGCCGAAATGTTGGTTTTCTAGGCCGCCTCCAAAAAAAAGTTCAAAATCTAACAATTCCTCACTCAGTAATTGTTGCGACCTGATGAGGACGCAATGAAGTCTCGGTTCGGCGGATTATAGTAATAAGCCACTTAGTCACATTTGGCCGCCAGACCGAGATGCCGACGTTCGGAAGACCGCAATATACCCCCCGTGGACTCACCAGCGCGACACTCGGACAATAGGTCCCAAAAACACTCGGGACCATAAAACATTCGTTACCGAGGATCGAATTTGTTTACAACAAATTCGGTCTCCCAAAAGATCACAGTTTTCGTCGACCAATAGCCGAACACACCACGTTTTCCACCTCCATAACACAACCACCAATCAGAACCAACCTAATCCCTATATATACATCTACACACCTGAAAACCGACAATCACAGTAAAACGACATCCATCAACCATCTACCTCAACGAACCGAAAGCAAATCATCCATCAACCATCTACCTCAACGAACCGAAAGCAAATCATCCATCAACCATCTACCTCAACGAACCGAAAGCAAATCATCCATCAACCATCTACCTCAACGAACCGAAAGCAAATCATCTATCAAGCATCTACATCAACGAACCGAAAGAAAAACATCTAATAAAAAACATCTAACCCATCAACCAAGTTTCATTCCACCTCAAACCAGCGAGAACTATCAACAATCTGCGCCAGACTCCTGGTCATAACATTTGATCAAAGTCCACGGCGCAACAGTAATTGCAGTGCACTGTGTGTACTTCATAGAGAAAATTTATGCGCCAAAAGCGGTCGACTAGAAGCAGTTATGTCGATTGTAGCACGAAAAAAATTTTTTCTATATTTTCGACTTATTTTTACGTGAGAAATCACCTCCTCCCCGGTTGTACCACGATTTCCGGAACACCCTGTGTACAAACATAACAAACGTAACAATTGTAGTTGTTAAATACATTAACAGATGTAACAGGTACACTGGGTGAAGGAATCGATCGAACCTAAGTACATCGGTACAATCTTATATTGCTTGATACCGATGGATCAATGGTGGTTTTATGGACCGTATGTTATATGAACTATTGGAAATGGGTTATGGAATGAAATAGTCTTTTAACTTTATAATATACGATTTATTTACGGTCTCAGAGGAAACGTCTTTACTCTATTGAATCTTCTGAAGGACTGTTTCTGGACACCCAAAAGAAAGTTGGGGTCTCCTTATACCTAGAAACTGTTTACATTATGGTATGGCATTGTGCAGTGAGTGACTCGAAGACGGACACCAGATGCATCTGGTGGAAGTCTTAGTGCCTTTGTTTAAAATAACCCGGAGACATTTTTGTCCTCACTTGATTATTTCCATAGGGTGTTGTTAGAAATAATCCAACATGAACATACAAATGTAAACATATAGGTATTACATTTTGTTAACAACATAATAATAATGCTTATACTACCACTACTACTAATAGTAAAAATGTAAAGTACTATAACACTAAAATATCATATGAAGATAACGTGATTATGGTAGTATAAAATATTGTAACAAAAATAATCAGTATATTATGATATAATTTTAGCGGCGTCGACATTAATTGCATGCACTGCTGTTTCTATTGCCGTTTCATTTACATTCAACCAGTTCAACGCACATATTTAATACTACTGCACATTTCGTATTATAATCACCTAAGGAATTTCTGCTCACTGAATTTGTTCGTTTTGAAAACAGAAAACAATTGTTCACACGAATATGTCGAACCAAACATGGCTAAAATTCTTGCAGCACTTCTGTGCAAACGCGGATACTTCTCCTGTGGCAGAACTTTGTAGAATTCTAATATGTTTCTTGTTTGTTCAAAATACAGCTTCAATGCTCTGTCGCATCTTAAATCGATAAATTTTAGCTGTAAATCAGCGTGGACAGTTTCAAGATCTACCAAAAATGGTAAGGAAATTATGCTGAAATCGGTCTCCAATGATGCTAGGTCTTCGAAAAATTCTTCATACAGGCTTCTGAGTATACTTACATAGCATTCGTGATTACTGTCGCTGGTAGACAGAAATCTTAACTTAGGAAAGTGATCGGTATTGTCAGATTCTAAACGTGTTATCCAAAAGTTAAGTTTCATCTTAAAGGACCGAATTGTATCGAATAAATCTACAACAGTTTTGTGCTTGCCTTGTAAAATGGTATTCAGAGTGTTTAAATGATTAATAATGTCTGATAAAAAAACCTAAATCTTTCGTCCAATTGTTATCGTCTAATTCTGGCACTGAATGTCCCGTCGAATAAATCTACAACAGTTTTGTGCTTGCCTTGTAAAATGGTATTCAGAGTGTTTAAATGATCAATAATGTCTGATAAAAAAACCTAAATCTTTCGTCCAATTGTTATCGTCTAATTCTGGCACTGAATGTCCCACCTTATCCATAAATAGCCGTATTTCCTCACGAAGATGGAAAAATCTATCTACTGCTTTTGCACGGCTAAACCAACGCAGCTCCGTATGATACGATAGTTCGTCGTATTCGTTATCTAGTTCTACTAAAAATGTTCTAAATTGTTTTCGCTTTAATCCGTGATTTTGAATAAAATTTACAGTACATATATGTAAAATAAAAAACACATTTTTAGGATCTCCTAATGACAAAACAAATTTCTGTCTATCTACATTCTGTCAACGTATGCATTTGCATGAACATCCAGACTCTACTGATAACAGCACACAAAGCACGTATAAATTAAAATTATTTAAATATCGCATTATCCGTAATCGTCAGTCTTAAATTTAAGAGGAAGTGAGAGAAAAAATACAAAAATAGACATATAATTCTTTCCTGTGAAATTGAAGATAATATCCATCAAAAATTGTTGATAATAATTTAAAAATATCTGAGAATTCTTTCGTTGGTATACACAGGTGTTCAAACTTAACATTGTCGGTAACAATGTTCGCGCGAAAAAACAACAGTATTTGCTTATCACGGCAAAAACTAGTATTTTTATCTGTAAATGTGTCATATGTAGTATGTATGACATCGCGATTTCTCTACATTCTTCTTAGCAATATATTCTAAGGCACACGATTCATTAATATCATCATCAATAACTGTATCAGTGTCGATTATATCATCGTCAGTATGCTCTCCATTAGCGTGCAATACAGCATCAGAGAGTGTCGTGGCTGATTAATATCGTGATAGAATATCCTCCAATACTAGCGGTGTGTTATAATTCTGCATGCAATTTTCAGTATTCGAATATTGATTCACATGTAATAATATATTTTTTCTAATTGCAAGACGCGCCGCTTTTACCGAAGGATTATTGTTGTAAGTGCCACCATGCATCCGAAGAACGGAGAAAAAATTTTCTAAACAATCAGTATTTAATCTGGATGTCATTAAAAATGTTATGCCCTCATCCCTTAAGTCATTCCACAGTTGCAAAGTGACACTTACAGACTACCGTAACCCCAAGAAACAAGGTGACACCTTTAAATGTTCGCCGGAAATAACGTACTAATTTTGCATATCATTCAATTTGTTTTTCAAACTATTCTCTATATGATTATAAAACCGCGAGAGTGCACATTTGTTAGGGTTAGGGTTACGGGTAGATTGAATATTTAAATTATCAAACAGATCATTTAAGGTTTTAAAAGAAAGGAGCTGCGTGTTGTATGATTTTTGTTTTTAGGTTATCTAATACGGAAGCAGTATACATACTACTTTTACTAAAAACTTGAAGAGCGGGCCTACACTTCATCTAATCAAATGAATTTAGCCGAATACACTCTTATCTTTCTCTATGTTCCATAGTACGAGCACATTACACCATTACAAATGAAAAAGTCAAATAAAAAGAAAATTTTTTGACCGTTCCGAAAGAAGTATGATTTCTCTATTGATACTTTGTCGTCTGCTATGCTCTGATTGCTGCTCCCTTGATCAGAAATGATCACTTCTGACTGTCAAATCCGTTTCATTTAAAGTATCTAAACTTTCATCTAGAATTTTGGACAAATCATTCCTTTTAATTCCTTATTTTTAAACAAATAATGTTAGTGATTGTTTTCAATTATCAAAGAGCCTGCGCAACAAGAAAACAAGAACCTGTGTACCTACTTACATACCAACGTACAGGATAGACCTAATATCTTATGGGACTCTTTGTCCGAGGCTTTGGGGCCGAGAAGACCTTTACCATTTCTGTGTCGCTACCAACGTTACCGATTCAGCATAGAATAAGATTACAACATTAGTAGTGGTTGGAATTGGAATTAAACATAACTATGAAATTACAAATTATAAAGTAACGTAATTTTTTATTAGTAGAAGATTCATCACATGCGCGTGTTCTATCACTGTCAAAACATCGTGAATAGTTCAAATTTAATAAAAGAGGATTTTTTATACCTGTCGACTTTACCATCTTTGTTGGTTGGATTGTATGTAATTCGTAAACTCACCGCTTCTTTATCGTAGAGGGCATAACAAAAACTTTGATTTTTGCACGATCGGTATTTCAGAACATTAGACACAAAGTCCCATAAGGTGATTGGTCTATTCTGTATCGCGTCTATGGTGATAGGTCTATTCTGTATCTCATTTGTGGTTATAGTATAGTACACAGTTTTCCAACGTGCGAAATTTTATAAACATTCTATCATAATAAAAATTATTTCGTACAATTAAAGGGAAGTTACGCTACTTCATCAAAATAAGAGAAAAAGTGTAACGATGTTAAATTGCGATTTTTAACCTAAACGTTCCTCGCGAAATAGCGTTTCTCGGATTCAAGGATTCGAAGAATTCAACATCTTTATCTACTGAATTTATGTTCAGTAACAATTTAAACAATGGGTAAACACGAAGTGGGGACACCCAAGTATATTGCCAACAAAATTAAGGCAAAGGGCTTGCAAAAGTTGAGATGGTATTGTCAGATGTGTCAAAAACAGTGCAGAGACGAAAATGGATTCAAGTGCCACACAATGTCAGAGTCTCATCATAGACAACTATTATTATTTGCTGATAATGCAAGTCGTTATATGGATCAATTTTCAAGAGAGTTTTCTCAGGGTTATCTAAATTTATTAAAAAGACAATTTGGTACCAGACGTGTGCCTGCTAATCGTGTCTACCAAGAATACATAGCAGACAGAACACATATACACATGAATGCTACCATTTGGCTTACATTGACTGCTTTTGTTAAGTGGCTGGGACGTTCTGGACAATGTGTAGTTGATGAAACAGAAAAAGGTAAATTTTGTATTCATAATTTATATAAAAATTGCAAGTTTGAATTATAATGATATAAAAATTATTGTTTGCTTTGTTCTCAGGTTGGTATGTAACATACATTGACAGAGATCCAGAAACATTGGCTGCTCAAGAAAAGAAAGCTAAGAAACAAAAAATGGACAAAGATGATGAAGAGAGGATGATGGAATTCATAGAAAAGCAAGTTGAAAAGGGTCAGCAGGAGGATAGTGGACTTAGTGAGACTTTTAAGGAGCCACTGACACGACCAGAGAATGATACACCTTTAGTTCTTGAAATGAAAATAAATAAAAAACCAAAGTTACTTCCTATTATAAAGCAAGAAAAAAGAAGTAAGAGTTCTATCAGTAGTGAGTCAGTTTCTATGATTTCTGATATAAAACATGAAGAGTTAGATGATGATTACACAGATAAGGAGACCAATTCAATAAAATCAGAAAAACTTAGATCTACTTTTAGTGAGGATGATAATGAAGAAGGATGGTTGAGGGAGGGATTAATGGTGAAGGTAATCACCAAGAGACTTGGGGATAAATATTATAAGTCCAAAGGTGTAGTTCAAAAAACTGAGAAGTCTAACTTCGTTGGAAAAGTAAAATTAAAATCACCAGAAGAAGTTCAGAATCATGTCATAAAGTTAGATCAGGAGTATCTAGAGACTGTAATACCTGCCATTGGAAAGGAAGTCATGATTCTTTGGGGAAAACACAAGGGCATGAGGGGTGTAGTGCATAAAATTTATGTAGAACACTACAGTATTGATGTAAAATTAGATCGGAATGATACTGTTGTAAGAAAATTGCCATATGAACAAGTTTGTAAATATGTAACGTGATCATTTATGTTCGAGACTGAAAACTATGCGTCTCATCTGTGACTTCTTGATATTTATAATCCTGCTTGGTTAGTACATGATAAAGCAGGACATGTTTCTCCTCTTATTCGCATTTCGTAGATTTTTGCTACTTTTGCGATTGTATTATGTAAATATTCTATTTGTATTTTGTACATATATGTATAATAAAATGAAAATATTATACTTTAGCCTGTACTAACCATTAGATAAAGATTATTTATACACCTGCTATACACAATCAGTTGAAATACAGCAAAGAGCATCTGTGTACAAAATTTACAGTGAACGTTTAAAATAACGTAAATCTTATGAATGACTATATTTTTCAAATAAAGTTGATTTTAAGTTACGCTTGTTGGGTTATGTTTATTAATATAACCTTACTCGAAAACTACATGTTATATAATTTTAATAATCGTATTCAAACATGTTCTTAATTTCAAATATTTGTACTGTCCTACGCTGAGAAGATGACGAGCAGAAGGAATGCGGGTCTCATTGGTTGTAATGTATACACTCATAAATTCAGATCACACATTTTTATTATTGGTCGAAACGGTCAGATCACTAATCACATTGCGTCAAGATGGAAGTGCGGCTTACTTCCTTTGCCTCTCTGCCGTCCCGCTCGTCATCTTTTTTTCGCAGGATTATATTTAATTTATATTGTTTAACCTAACTTTTGATGTTAGTGATTTTTATAAGCATATAACCTTTTAAATAAATTTCTTTTTAGGAAAACTCAAGTTCACAAAATTTTTTTACTTTAGTGCAAATATTATTTACTTCTTTTTTAGTAGAATAATAACAGTATAATCATGTTTTATTGTAATATAATAATTTTTTGAAAAATGACTAGGAAAAGATAATGTATGGCTTTTCGTTTATGCGAAACATAACCTTATACCTGTTCCTGTTATACATGTCACGTTATAGATCCACATGATTGTAGAAAGGATAAAGATAATTTCTATTTTTTAGAAATTAAGAATTTTCATTTGTGAGAAGTCAAAGAATTTTTTTTCATAATTTTTCTGCTTTTATAACTACTAAAGCATCCGAAAATAGAAGAAATCTATAACAACTGTCTAATTGTTGATTTCATTTTTTTTGTGATTTCTTGACAGCATGTCTGCATTATTTAACGGTGATAATTCCGATTCTGACGGAGAATTAAAAATAAATACAGACTATGCTAAGAATTACAATACTTGGCGACAAAAAGAAGAATTATTTAAACGTAAGTACATGAACTAGATCGAGAAACATACTTTGTACTGTAACTACAGTCTATTTCTAATTAAAACTATACTTTAATTTAGTAAAAGCAAAATACGGAGATGTCAATGATAGTGCACCCTCAGATGAAAGTTCTGGAAGTGAAAGCTCATCTGAGGAAGCGGAAGAAAATGTATGACTTAATGCTTTATGTGTATAATAGATTTTTGTATTATTTTTTATATTACTGAATTTATTTTTATAGGAGCTGACAAAGCAATTTGATAAGGATTTTTATAAGACATTAGCTTATTTAAAAAATAAAGATCCAAAAATTTATAATGAGGAAGTAACATTCTTCGAAGACACTAAAAAGGCACAAGAATTACACAGTGAAAAAAAGAAACAGAAAAGTGCAAAAGAAAAATCTGTGTTTCTAAGAGATTATGAAAGAAACATTATTTTGGAAAGGGAAGGAAAATTTAGTGACAGTGAAGATGAAAATGAACTGAAAAGGAATAAGAAGATAATTAAAGATATCACATATGTTCAAGAACAAAATCAATTGAAAGAAAGTTTCAAGGATGCTTTTCATGATGAGGAAGAGGAAGATGACTTATTGAAGCCAAAAACCAAATCAAAAGAAGAAAAAGAAAAAGTAAGCAATCCCTAATTTTTTAAATTTCTCTTGATAAAACAGGTACTTTATTTTTGTTATTTAGGAAGAAGCAGACTATAAAGAATGGCTGAAAGGACAAAAGAAAAACATAAATGAAAATGAACAGCAAGTGCTCAAACCTCTGCGAGATTTTTGGTCCAATCCTAATCTGGATGCAAATGAGAAATTCTTGAGGGATTATATTCTTAATAATAAATACTTAGATAATGATTATACTGGCTCAGATTTAGATGAAGATGAAAGACACTTGATTCACAACAGCGACGAAAATTTATCCGAAGATGAAAAAAACATTGAAAAACAAGAGGAATTTGAACACAAATATAATTTCAGATTTGAAGAACCTGATGAGGAATATCTTAAACGATATCCACGTACTATGGAAAATTCTTTAAGAAGAAAAGATACTCGTAGATCTGAAAAAAGAGCAGAGCTAAAACAAAGAAAGGAATATGAAAAATTGAGAAAGGAAGAGGAGCTAAAACAATTGAAAGCGTTGAAAAGAAAGGAGATTGAAGAAAAAATAGAAAAATTAAAAGAAATTACAGGAAATGACGACATACAGCTTAATGATATTGATTTGGACGGTGATTTTGATCCTAATGAACATGATCGAAAAATGACTAAACTTTTTAATGACGATTACTATGCAGTTTCTGAAGAAGATATTAAGCCTGAATTCCCGGATATTGATGAAGAATTGGAGATTGAAGATACGTGGGATAATTATGATCCAACTACGGAGAATTATGCAAATGAGGAAGGATACGAAGGTCCACATTGCGAGGACGCAGATTTTAATGTAATTAATTTATATTTAATTATTTCTATTTTGTATAAGAAAATAAAAATTACATTGATATACATAATTTCAGATGGATGCCGATTACGATCCATCAAAAAAGGTTCAAGAAGAAATAAACGCTCCAAAAAGAAGAAAAAGAAAGAGAATGTCAAAATTCGCTGAACTTATAGCAAAAAAGAAACCAACGTTTGATCCTCAACAGTATAAGTCCTATGAAGAATACTTTGACAAGTATTATTCATTGGATTATGAGGACATTATTGGTGATACACCTTGTAGATTCAAGTATAGAAAAGTCGTGCCAAATGATTTCGGTCTGAGCGTAGAAGAGGTAGATTTTATTAGAATATTTTTTATACAGGGTGTCACCGATTTGGTGGTACAAGCTGAAAGGAGGCGAATCTACATGAAAAAATAAGTCGAAAAAAAAAAGAATAATTTTCGAGTAAATCGGTGTTGAAGACTCGTACATTTTTGTTGAAGTGTGCGTACGCTTTCATATGATCTTAATTATGTTTATGTCTGAAGGATATGATTGTGCTATTCCAATTACCGTTCCGATTTCTAACATTAGGTACTAAAGGATAACCATTGAAATAAAACGATAATGATAACGATCTTTGTAATAATAAGCAACCATAGATGCGTTGCCAGCACACGCACCCAACGCGAGTATCATATCAATGTATTCTCTGTTGTTGTACAATAGTAATAAGTCATGACATTGATGAGGTTCATGTATACAGACGCAACAAAAATTAGTCTATAGTGTAGCCAAGTGTACATGGACTCAACGAATCTCTAACACCAATTTACTCGAAAATGAAGCCTTAAACGAACAAATTTTTTTTTCACTTACTTTTTCATGTAGATTCACCTCCTTTCGGCTTGTACCAACAGATCGGTGATACCTGTATAAAAAATTCTAATGATGTTCTTTTTTTGGTAGATATTAATGGCTGATGACAGGGAACTGAATAAGTGGTGTTCCTTGAAAAAAGCTCTTCAGTACAGGCCAGACCACGTGGAGTTAAATGACGTTCAAATGTTTAAGCGGAAGGCCCAAAATAAGGCACTCAAGCAGAAGATCCTTAAAAGTTTATACACGTAAGAAAAAAAGATATATAAGATACTTTTTAATTGTATATGCATAACATATTTTACTTTATATTTATGTTTCAGTGATCCTGAGAAAGAAGAAGAAGATAAGGAAGAAAATGCTAACAGTGTTTCTAATACGGAGAATATAGTACCGAAGAAGAAACGCCAAAGAAAGAAGAAAAACTTACAAGAAGGTCAAAACGTTTCATTCATTGCAAATCAAGAGATGTCAAATGATAAGGAAGAAAAAGAACGTCGTAAAAAGGTTAAAAATAATGTAGAAGTGACACAGGAAAAATTAAAGGAAAGTTCAAAAGTTGAAAAGGGGGAGAAATCAGAAGAATCTGCTAACTCCGTCACCGAAAGCAGACCACAGAAAGAAACCAAAACTGCAAATGAAATTATTAGTAAAGAATCTTCATTCGAGAAGAAGGTTAAGAATCAGAATCACAATGAATCTAATTACAAGTTTTCGAAGAAAGAAAAATCGAAAGAAAAAATAACAATGAAGTTTAGACAGAAGAAAAGGAAAGATTTCAAGAACAAGGATGTCAATGATAACGTCGCTTCATTGAATCCAGAGAGGTTAAAGACGTACGGAATAAATGTTAAGAAATTGAAGAATAAACTGAAATATAGCAAGAAGCAACAAAAATCTTGATATATTATAAATACAAACATGTAGATATACAATTTATTACCAAAACTGACTGTTTTTTAATTCTTATATTCTCATTTTTTACATCGTCATTGCATCACGCCCCATTCGATATCAATAAACATGCCGAGCAAACGTTTGGTGAGGATACGACGTGATCGAATACCCGCACCCTCGAGTAGGAGTGGTTCTGTTGTTAGGGTGAATCCGTTTCAACATGATAAACGACGTTTGCGGATTATTAGAATCGTAGCAGCCTGTTTGCGTTTACTCTTCTAAAATCTCCACCGGTAATCCGTCCCATATGCCTCGGTCAAGGAAACTTCTGTTCTTGTTCACTGACCTTTAGTCGTTCATTCTACATAACCTAACGTATATGTACAGTAGCTATTTATATAGAATATTAAACATTATTATAGTACGGTTTTCCAAAATTCATATTAAAAATTTAAATAAAACTAAAAAAAAATTGTAATTTATACTTTTTTCAAGAAATTTCTTTATTAAATAAAATAATAAATGTTAATGCACGGATACTTGAAAATTGGTGCAAACTTCAAGTTGAAAACAGATGAAGGCGATCTATACGTGATCGTACAGCGAATTATAGTGGATTCGATTTCACTGACTAGAATAATTTAATCGACACAGAACCCGAGGTGTCTCTTACGAATGTTAGTTAACGATAGGGGAGAGGATTAGGGATGGGATGGTACTTGCGCCCATCTAAACTGGCCTTTCGGTCCCCCTGGGTGCAATATATCAATTCTTCTCGCCCCACCAGCGCTTTCACGGTAGCAGGTGGCTCCTGACGGCCACGCTCGTTCGCACCCTTAATTCCCAATTAATGTTATACCCGTTGTAAACGTCGTATCGTTCTTGTTGCGTAAGTTTCAACACTAAGACGAATTATATACATGTAAAAAAGATAATAATAAATTGTACCAAGTAGATTTAATGTGGAAAAAGAATTTGTGTATTATACAGAGTATGATTCAA